GGAGGGTAAGAGAATAGGGGTGGAGACAGGAGAGGAGAGGACAGGAGAAAGGGGAAGGAGGAGGGGCAAGAGAGGAAACAAGTTCCTTTCCTTAATGTATTTATTGCCCACTTATATTTCTCCTGAGAAATGTCTCTTCATTTCAGTTGCACATTTCTAGATCTTTCACTTGGAGGGTTCTAGTTTTTTGGAGTTCTTTATATAGTCTAGTCCTCTGAGAGGTAGCTGGCAAATTTTTCCTCTTCTGGAGGTTGTCTCTTCACTCTTTTGATGGTTTCCTTTGCTTGAAGAAGCTTTTTAATTTGATATGATTCCATTTGTTGATTCTTGATGTTGTTCCTTGTGGAGTTGGGATTTTGTTCATAAATCCTTGCCTACGCATAAACCTTTAAGAGTTTTACCCACCTTGTCTTCCAACAGGTTAAGCGTTTCTGTTTGATATTTAGGTCTTTGTTCCTTTTTTATTTTAGTTTAGCATATGCCAAGAAATAAGGCCTAGCTGCAAATGGATGGCCAGTTTCCCCAGCACCATTTGCTCGGGGAGGCTGCTTTCCCTCCAGGGTGTGTTTTTGGCTATGGCTGTGGTCTTTTCTGCATTCTTTACTCTGTTCCATTGACCCACTTGGCTGTTTTTACACTGGTATCAAGATGATTTTTTTATAGTTGCAGCTTTGTAATAAAGCTTGAAATCTTGGATTATAAGGCCACCTACTTTGCTCTTATTACCCAGGATTATTTTTGCTATTCTGGGTCTCTTCTAGTGAAGAGAATTCATACGAATTTTAGAATTGTTTTTTTTTAGAATTGTTTTAAATTCATATGAATTTTAGAATGAATTCATATGAATTTTAGAATTGTTTTTTTTCTAGTTCTGTAAGGAATGCTATTATATTTTGATTGTGATTGCATTAAATCTTTACAGTAGTTTAGGGAGTATAGCTATTTTGACAGTATGGTTGTGCCTATCTTGAAACAAGTAATATGTTTCCATTTTCTGATATCCTCTTTGGTCTTCCTTTCCAGAGTACTGTAGTTTTCTTTGTAGAGGTCTTCCACTGCCGTGGTGAGGTTGCTTCCTAAGTATTGAATTTCTTATGGTATTTTGCATGACATTGCTTTCTTCATTTCTTTCTTGGTGTGTTTCTTATTGATTTTGTATCCTGACACATTGCTGAGTTTGGTTATTAATTATAAAAGTCTTCTGTGAAGTTTTTGGTTTCCAAAACCTAAAGGATCATATCATCTGCAAATGATAATAATATGATTTCTTTCTGGAATACATTATCTATTTTATTTCTTTTTCTTCTCTTATTCTGTGACTAATTTTTCTGGATATATATATTTTTATTTTTTTATTTTTTTATTTTTTTATTTTTTGCAGAACCGGGGATTGAACTCAGACCCTTGCACTTGCCAGGCAAGCACTTATTCTACTGAGCCATCTCTTCAGCCCCTTCTGGTACTGTATTGAACAGGAATGGTGATAGTGGACATTTGTGTCTTTTCCTAATTCTAAAGAGAAGTCTACCAGCTTTTCTTGCCTTTAATGTGATATTGGGCATTGGTTTATATAAATGGCTTTAATTAAATTGAGGGTCCCATATATGCCTATTTTCTTCACGGAATTCTTTTATATCTATCATGAATGTGTTTTGAATTTTTTCAAAAACTTTTCCTGCTTGATATGATCGTGTGATTCTTGCCCTGGCTTTTGTTTATGCAGTGTATTACATTTATTGGACTTCATGTGTTGAACCATGCGAGCACCTCTGGGATGAAACCTAATTGGTTATGATGTATGATCTTTTTGATGATTTTTTTTTTGCATTCTATTTGCCAATATTTTCATGAGGATTTTTGCATTGATGTGCCTTAAGGAAACTGGCCTGTACTGTTCTTCTGAGTTAAGACCTTGTCACTGGGTTACGTATTTGAGCCAGCTCTGTTTTTCTAATGTGAGCACTAACTGTAATAAACTTTCCTCTTAGGCATGTTTTCATCATGTCCCATAAAATCTGATGCACTGTACTGGAATTGTTTAATTCCAGGAAATTGTTCACTTCTTAGATTTATTTATCTGACCCATTGAGTATTAAGGAGTATATTTTAAGTTTCCTCTGGTTTATAAACATTTTGTAGTCTCTTTTATGATTCACATCTAGTTTCAGCACACAGTGATCTGATATCACACATGGGGTGATTTTGATTATTTTAACAGGCTTTGTGGATTTGCATGTGATCTATTTTGGAGAAAGTTCTATGTATTTGAGTGAGGAGAATGTGTATTCTGTTCTACTAGGGTGTAACACTGTAGATATGTGCTAAGTCTATTTGAAGGTGTGGTTCAGCTCTGATATTTTTTATTGAATTTTTTCTTTAGTCGGTCTGTCTCTTTGTGAAAGTTTAGTATTAAAGTCACCCCCTATGATTGTGTTGGTTTTTATTTAATCTTTTATGTAGTAATCTTTCTTCTCTGAAGTTAGGTGCACTAGTATTGGGTGCATATTATGTTTACAATTGTTTTCTCTTCCAGTTAAACTGTTTAACTAGTATGTACTGATCTGATCTTTTTTTATTTCTTCTGGTCAGTTTTAGCTTGAAGTTTACTTTGCCTGGTGATAAGATGGCTACTTGTGCTTGCTTTGGGGGTCATGGTACACAGAATATTGTTTTCCAGCCTTTGATTTTCAGGCCATGGATTTTCTTTTGGATTTAACGAGTTTCTTTTCTTTCTTTCTTTCTTTCCTTCTTTCTTTTCTTTTTCTTTCTTTCTTTCTTTTTTTTTTTTTTTTTTTTCAGAACCTGGGATTGAACTCAGGCCCTTGTGTTTGCCAGGGAAGTGCTTATTCTACTAAGCCATCTCCCTGGCCCTTTGAAGAGTTTCATGAATGCAATAGATTGTTAGACTCTGTTGAACTAGTCTGCCAGCCATACCTTTTTACTGGGTAGTTGAGACCAATTACAATGAAGGTTATTCCTGAAAAATAACGATTTATTCCTGTCATTGTACTCCTTTTCTATTGAATTCTTTCCATTGTATTCTTTTTCTATCTTCTTTATTTTTCCTTTTTTAAGTATTTGTCTTGCTTGATATATTCATTACACCCAATTTTTCTTTTTCTTTTTCTTTTTTTAGTTTTGTTCTATCTTGGATATTTTTGAGTACTTTTTTGAGTGCTCATTTGTTGTTCACTTATCTCTTAAGATGTTCTTTGGTATAGAATGTTCTTATTTCTCCATCAGTTTTGAAAGATAGTTTTGTAGGATGTATTAGTCTGAGTTAGAAGTTTTTTGCTTTTAGGACTTGAAACACTTCATGACAAGTCTTTAAAAAGTTTGTGCTGAGGAGTCTGCTATAATCTTGATAATTTATCTTTTTATGTGATTTCTTTCTTTCTTTCTTTCTTTTTTTTTTTGGCAGAACCTGGAATTGAGTTCAGGCCCTTGTGTTTGCCAGGCAAGCTCTTATTCTACTGAACCATCTCTCTGACTCCTGTATGTGATTTCTTTTTCTCTTTTCTGACAGCTTTCTTTTTTGATGCTGAGAGTAGAGGACAAATAGAATGAGGAGAGTTTGTTGTCATGAGGATATCTTCAATTAAAATCTGTTTCTCAGTGATGTGTCTGTGGCTTTATTTGCCAAGGAAGAATGTTTTTCCTTACAAGATTTCAGTTTAATTAGGTTGGACCCTGTCACTAGGTTGTAAGGAGAGAATTTCTATTGGCTGTAACAATATCAACAAAACTGAACGTGCATCAATAATAAACGTTTAAATTTGTTTTGATAACTTTACCCTTTTGTTAATATCCTTTACAGAATATATTGTATTAGGAAGTGTGAGGTCTGAGGATGTGGAGAGGAAGGGTAAATGGAAAGAGGTATATCGATGGGAGGAAAGGATGATGAGAGATGTGTCAATGGTTTAAAAAATACAAATTTGGACTCTGTTGTAGTTACCCTATACCTGGGATAGGGGATAGTTTGGAAAACTATTTGTGTAGTCAAGAGGGTGTCTACAGATGGGTGGCAATATATTTAGAGACTGAAGGAGCCTGTGAAGTTTCTGGTACACGTAAATAGGTTCGTTGTTGGTTTTGTTTAGTTCCCTTAAGTCCAGTTTTGTTAAAGATTGCACTGATATACTCTTAAATCGAACTACTTAATTCATAGCACTGGTTAATTCTTACTCTCTAATGAACTTCTACAGTCTCCTGTATAAATTTATGCCATTAGATTAATATGGAGGAGCTCGGAGGAGACAAAAGGTGAGATAGTGAGAGGGGGCAAGGACTAGCATGAGGAGCGGGGAAGCTTGAAGGAACAGGGGGAGACAACAAAAGGAGTGGGTCCAGTGGGAAAGCCTTTGAAACTTAAAGCATTATAATCATCCAGTACCAATAAAAGGAAACGAAAGAAGAGTAAGAAAAATTAAAACAGAGAATAGAAAGCAAAAGAAAAGGAACACAGAAACAACAATATAAACCAACCAGAAGAGCCCAAATCCAATGAATCAGCAAGGTTCCAATAACTATCACTTTCAAAATAACTTTTATTATAGAAAGCATAATAAAAACCTTCGCATGGCTGTTATTGCAGTAGCCCAGCTTTTTCACTTATTTCTCTCCTCTGGTGTCCCTACCTGGTTTCCATTCTCCGCACAATTTTCTCCTGTGGAGACACCTGCTTGTCCGAAGCTAGCTCTCCTCTAACTTGTGTCCTGGCTTTGAGCTTGGGGCATGCCCCTGGTGTACCTCCATGTCTGAATATCTTGATTGATTTGGGGCTGGATATCGTGACCTTCTGCATGCCTCTTCTCTCTTCTTTACTGGTTTTTCTTGCCTGTCATAAGGACTGAAGACCACTGTCCTGTGGTACTGATCAACTGTGAGCTCTGCCCACAGAAACCACAAGAGGGAGCACTTTCTCTTGGCTCCCAGGAGTCACACTGTTGCCTTGTTCTTTTCTGACTTTCGTCAGAGAACTAAGGCTCACTTCTTTCTGCCTTCTCTGCTGGGCCTTCCTAGGTGTCCCCTTCCTCCATAGAAAGACACTGACAATTGTGGGTGATTGTTCTAAGTGCCACATTGCCTTTGTATGTGGAAAAATAGGTGACTTATCATTGTTATTATTATTAAAATTGTGTCAGGGAAACCTTTCTTGGCTGGTGTCTTCCACCTGCCAGCTCTTGGGACAGGAACGCTGGCACAGGAATATAAATTTTTACGCTGTTGTTTTCAAAAGTTTCCTTGAGTGCCTGAGTTGGATTTGTCTACTTGCCATGGCCAGTAGGGAGGATAGCTTGGCTTTGGGTTTATTTAATAACCCAGACTGTCTCTGAGGGGCCATCTGCTACTTCCTCAGCCTGGCTCTTTTCTGAGACAGCCTGGAGCCAGGTCTGAAGAGGAGGATGGGTACCCTGATCAAGGCATGAACCAGTGTTCCCCCGACACCTAAACTGAATTTTAGTCCTGCTGGGTTGTCTTTTCATTTATCACTAGTGAAAGATAAAGACTTTATGTTTCACTCCTGCCGCAGTGACTGCTTTTGTTCAGCAGGGAATCAGAGGTGATCACTGTTGCCTCCTGACTCCCATATTTTGTACTGGAACGTGTATTCATTATAAAAAACAAAAACTTCCTTTCGTGTGAGAATAATTAGACTTCTCATTGCAACAATTTACAAACATTCATTATGCAGGAAGCTGAACGTACTTCATTGCTTGGGGATTTTTAATATGTGCAGCCTTTAGATTTTATACTGGAAGATAACAATGTTCTGTATCTATCTATAGTAGTTGGATCCTAGTCATAGCATATTAGATCTGTTTTTGATTAGAACTATTTCAAGGATTACTTTACCACAGCACTGGAAAGTTCAGAGTAAAAACCACATACAAGTAGGTCAACTTCAGATAGACAGCCTTGTTACTCAGTCTTTTCTGAAGTCCTCCAACTAACTTGACCTTGACAGACAGTGAAGGTCATGAATAAAAGTGCCTGGCTACAATCCCTCTTCCTTAAACAAATCAAGTTCTCCTTACCCCTGTCTTATCATTTGAAAATTCAAGATCACACCCAAATGTCCTTGATGGGAAAGTGAAGATTAAATAACATATCTGCATCATTAAATAGCCCCTTCACAGAAGGAGGAACAAACTCAGAAGTTAGGTGACTCTCAAGGTAAGACCGACAGGATTCCTGGTACCAAAGTGCGAGCCCATTTGAGCTTAAGAATTGGGGTTTGATGCTCAGACTGGACCCTATCCCTGAGGAGATCCTGGGCCCCTCTTTATTGCCTTGGCACATTCTGTACTCACCTGTTGAATGGGGAAAACCATAGTAGTATGCACCAGTCCTGGCATTAAACTGTGCGCTAGCAAAGGTCTAATGGCAAGTAATACACCAGTTAAACTACAATCATCATTGGCTTGAGACACCACGTTGCCCCATGGAAATCAGTGTGCTGTCCAGCCTGAGCTTAGACTTGACATTAAAGCACACAGCCCCAGCCCATAGTAGACACTCAGCAAACTCTGGTTACCTTCTTTAAATATTTGGGGTCTATCTTAAATTATCTCCTGAATAAGTTGTCCAGCTGTGATTAGGCTGCCATTGTAGTCATCAACATTCTGTATGTGGCCCTCCTCCCACTGTGTGCCCCGCCCACACAGCTGACCTGCATAACCAGGCACCCAGTGGAGAATGGTGGCCAATGCTGGGTAGTCCAGAGATAAGGGATGCTTATTCTGGCCAGATGTTGGAAAGACCACCCATTATTTAGTACACACATAAATCAGCTGGAGAAACTCCAGGCTGGCAGACAGATGCAGAGCTTGTGAGACAGACAGGCAAGGGCTGCCAAGGACGACCCAGCTCTGGGGACCTGTTGGAGACACAGCTCCAGGAAGCTTACAAGATCAGGTCACCTGTTCCTTTATCCTGGGGAATCAGTGACAGAGACGCAGTTCATGAGCCAATGGCGAGTGAGATTAGAGCGAATGTCCTTGATAAATTCCCCAATGGGAGGCAGTTTTGCTTTCCCTCTGTGTCTCAGGGCACTCAACCAAGCAGACACTGGAAAACAAGTTTTGGTGCCAGAGCCTTCGGCGTGTTCTGAGGCTGCTTTTTCAGAGGCAGGTACTCAAATTCTCCTGCTTTGGGTGCATAACTCATTCTCTCTGTGCCCTGGGAATTAGGGGTGTATCTTAGTGGAATTGAAAGAAAAAAGATTAACAGCTTCTTGTGCCCAGACATATGCTGTCCTGCTAGCTCAGTCCCTCTGGCAGCTGGTCAGTTTAGCCTCAGATTCCTTTCACTTCCAAGTTACTGTATTAGAGCTACTGTACTTTGAGAAGGTGTGCAGCGGGGGAAGTTGACAGCAAATAGTAAAGCTCGGGCAGCGGTCTGCTCTCCGCCTCCAGGCATTGCGCACAGGGCCACGCTCCCCACATCTTCCCCACTAGATGGCACAAAACCTTTCTCTTGCCTTCCTTGCTTCTGTAGTCCTGCTCTTTTTCAGCTAGTCTGTCTAGATTAGCCAGTGACCTCAGACATGCATATGCTGCTTTAGGATCAGAAATAACCACTTTAAATCTCATTGCAAGGCATTAAAACACATAGTATGACAGACTTTGAGAGCCGGAACAGATGGAGGAGACCGTTGACAGCCAGAGCCTGTTTGCCTTGCCCATAGCCCCCTCCTCAGCAAGGGTACGTCTGTGTGGCTGCATGGCTTGTTCCGAGTGATCCTTCTCCTTGACCATTGCTATTGCATTGAGAAGGGGTGTTATGCCAAGCGTAGCATATCTGAAGGCTGGCTTAGCCCCATCAGTTGGCCTAACGCTAGAACTTTGTCCAAAAGGATGGCAATGAGTAACTGGAAGAATCGTATTTTTTTCTCTCTAGGGTTTGAGCCTGAATCAGACAGGGAGAGCCAGACAGCAGGAGGAAACACAGAAAGGCATACAGGGCAACCAAGGCAGGCAAGGGGCAGACAGGACAGCGTGGAGTGTGGCCTTCCACTGGCTGGCCTGGTGCTGAAGCCTCAGCCACTCTCGGCTTCCACACGCAGCGCTGGCTCTAGATGCACAACCTGGAGTGGTACATGTCTGCCTCTTGTGTTTGTATAAGGCCTCCTAAGGGAAATAAGAGTTTACCTGACCTCTTATAGATGAGGCACTCGAGGTGCTGGTTACCCTTTAGGTTACAGAACTGGCTCCTGACAGAGTTCAGACAAGAAGCAGGCTATCCAAAGGGCCGGGGCTGAGCAGGAGTGGGGTGGGAAGAGGCAGTGACAGAGGCGGTGATGGTGGGGGAGGAGGCAAGATGGATGATGAACGATCACTCCACAAAAGTATGTCAAGGCTAAGGTTGAGCTCCAAACTGTGCAGGGCCATTTCCTCTCATGACTGCTCCGCAGTGAGTTCTGGAGACTGAGGCCGTAGTTTTCCCTGCCTTGGTTTCCTCTCTTTGTCCTCCCAGTGTGCCCATGGGGAACAAGGCTCAGGAAAGGGCAGAAGGAGGAGAAATACACTGGTGTGTGCTGCAGGCAAGTCCTGGCTATTTGTGAGAAATCTTGCTGTCTTTTGGTTATTTAGTGGAAAGATCATTTTTTGATATACAAGGAAGCAAAGGAACACCTGTTGGAAAGGTCTTATTCTGAGAGGCTTTCAGCTTAGTGCAGAATGGTCAGGGTTAAACCACCTGAATGGAATCCCCCCTACAACGTGCCCCATTTCCCTCCTTGCAGACCCATGGACACAGTGCGGGTTGCTGTCGTTGGAGCGGGCGTAGTTGGGCTCTCCACCGCTGTGTGCATTGCCCAGCTGGTCCCCCAGTGCTCTGTTACCATCATCTCAGACAAGTTTACTCCAGATACCACCAGCGACGTGGCTGCCGGGATCCTCATTCCTCATGCATGTGCAGGTGAGAGGGATTTCAGCCCCTCTGATAGACAGGTGGAAGTCTTTCCACCAAGAAGGCCAGCATGAAAGCATGCTGTGCAGCGCTCACTTCCTTTTTTTTTTTTTTTTTTAATGTATCAGTTATGTAATTAGGTTCTTAGTAAGAAATTTAGAACACTAATTTATGAGGATAAATTCTATTTGTCAGCACAAAAACGGATCGCAGTTAGCCCCAGAGCTGAGGAACAGCTTTGATTTTTACTAAAATCTGTGAGTCCACCGCTTTCTGATCCATCTTGGGCTGCTCCAAAATCTGGTATCTCTTTCTTGGTGTCGAAGATCTCGCCCTCCTGGTATCTGGGCTTCTGCAGCTTCTTCTTCTTATAGTAAGCATCAATGAGGTGTTTGGGGATTTTCTCTTTGCTGATGTCAATTTTTGTAGAGGTGGCAATGACAAATTTCTGGTGTGTTCTTCATAGAGGAACATGATTAAGGTTAAGAGGCCCAGTCACAAGTAGCAAGCCGCAGACCAGCTGCTTCAGGAAGACCACTCTCTTGCCTCTGTGATGCCCGGTGAGGATGATCAGGATGGTGCCAGGAGTGATGCTGGCTTGAAGATGCTGTACATGCTGACTGAAGGGTTTCTAGCCGTGGCTCAAGAGCTTTTAGGGCACATCTTCAGGAGGGTAGTACCTAGGCATTTTTCAAAGCTTAACCACCTGGGTACCTCCATTCTTGTCCCCACCGACCGGTTTTGTGATCGTAGCAAGAACTTTCTCCTTTTCCTTCTCAACCTTTGATTTAGCAGCTGTGTGCTTTCTCTTGTACAAATCCTTTCTGGAATACATAGCAGATCAGGAGTATCTACCAATTCCTCTAACCAGGACAGGAGTTCAGCTGCAGTGGGGCTGCCCCTTCTTGGACTTTTTTTGCCTTCTTCACCTTACGCTTTTTACCAGTACCACTGGCAGAAGCCTTCTGGGCTCCGGGTTTCTTCTCTTTAGTGTCTGGCTTCTCAGATTTTTCATCTACCATCTTGCAAGATGGGAAAGAGAACTAAGTTTTCTCACTTCCTGTCAATGGTCTATTGGGAAAGGCTCAGCGATGTCGCAGTGCAAAAACAATTTCCAAACTGCAGCAGCGTAAGGAACAATGGTTCCTTTTTCTCATGTCACACATCCATTCAGCACTGTGCTCTGCTTATCTTTCTAAGTGTACTAATAATGTACAGTTGTTTGTTTTTGTTTTTTGAGACAGGGTCTCATTATGCAGTTCTGGCTGGCCTTGAACTCACTGTGTAGTCCAGGCTAGCCTTGATCTCCCAGCGATCCTCCCACCTCAACGTCCCAAGTACTGGGATTACAGGTGTGCACCGCCACACCCAGTTTCTGTTGTCTCCAAGTTACATTTTTCCTCCTGGTGTCCTCTGTTCTAATGCCAGAGGTTTCCTTGGCTTGCCTGATGATGTTACGCGCAACTGGAATTTCTCAGAGCTTCTTGCCTCTGAGCCTCATTAGAGTGAGATGCTGGGACCCTTTAGCTGGGGAAGGCTTCCGTCATTATGTCTAAGTCTTTCTTCTAGTGTGAGGCATGTTCCAAGGGAAGAAGTTTCCAGTCTCCTGCCTGGGGAGGTTGAAAGCTTGGCTTGGCATTCTGGAAGGACAGGGGAGAGTAGGATGGACCTCAGCATGGAGCCTGCACGATTCCCATCCTCCTGTTTTCAGCTCATACCCCTGCCTTTGCCCCTCCCTGGAGCTTCCCATTCCAGATGCCCCTGTTTCACCTAAAGGAGAATCAATCTATCTTCTACCAGAGGGGGAGGGCAGTGACCCAGTGTCTAAGAACCTGGCTGCATCATATATATGATCAAAACTTGAGCTCCCTGGCCAGAAAAGGCACAGGAACTGGTCGGTGGTTCATACAAGGTGCCTATCATTGTCTAGGCCTCTTGTGAACAGCCTGAGTGAATGGTCAGAAGCTGCCTGGTCATGTAGATCATCGAAGGAGGCTCCTCTGGAAGCTCTGCTAGACTACAAAGGCGAGAGCTTTCATTTTGACTGGGTGTCCTAACCAGGGCCTTTCTCTGGTACTGCTAGAGAAACACTTTGGTCTTCTCTTTGAAGTTCTTCCCTAGACATAATTCAGTCTAGTTCCAGTAGTAAATATCTCCTACCTTCACATATGTTGATACCATATGGCAGCAATGGTGAACATGTTAGAACTTTCAGTGATACTAACAGTCTTCAGCAGCGCATGTGCCATAGATGCCATATGGGGACCACACCTTCCTCATAAGGGAAGGATTAAATTATACATATATATGTATATATAATATACATTATTTTATATATATATATATGTATATGTATATGTATATGTATATATGTATATGAAAGAGAGAACCCTGTATATGTATATGTATATATGTATATGAAAGAGAGAACCCAGCACATAGCATATTCCCCAACTCTGCCATGGTTTTCTTTACCCACATTTGAACATGAATTACATCCTCAGGCTTGCTCAACACACTGCTGAGCTGAAATCATCTACTCTTTGGGGATGACTTCTGCATCATGTGACTCCTGGGTACTATTTTAAGTCTGGGTGGAAAAAAAGGGATGCATGCAATACTTTCTCCACATTGGCAAGGATTATTGGGGTGTTATTTATTTGAGGTCTAACATAGTTCTTTCTGCAGCTATCATTTATTTCTGCTAATTTCTAAGCCGGTAGCCTTGGCCTATGACTTGAGAAGACAATGGAATTCACAGTGGGACATGTGTAAAGCTGACAGTGTAGAGCTTGTATTTAAAATGTTCATTAATTCTGTGAGTTGTTTCATAACCTGGTTGCTGCTATGCCTTCATTGCCCTGAGGACTGAGATGCCTCCGAGTCTGTCTGTCTGTCCCATGAATTCCAGGGACACCTCTCCCACTGGAGCTCACCCAGCAGCCCCTTTGCCTCAGTTCCCACAAGATTGCTGTTCTCAGGCTCTGGTCGACCCTGGACTCCCTCATAGCCCTCTCCCAAGAACTGGACAGCCACATCTTTCACCCATGGTTGGATTTGTCTGTGCCTGTGGGTTGTGCTTGCTTTCTGTGCCTGCACTGGACACTATTGCTCTGGAGCTGAAGCCATGCCTCTTCTTCTTGTCCTCCCTCAAAGGCCTCACTGTTCCAGAAGATGTATGTGTGCAGGTCAAATCCCTTGTGCACCGGCAGAGATACCTGGGCAGTGGTGTGGTCCCCTCAGTGTCTTGCCAACCTTGATCCATGATTTCATTGTGTGGGAGGTATTGCAGCCCTGGTGGGGAAATTTGTCCTTGCCAAGCTCACCTTCACAGTGCAGGCCTTGTTTCCTTCTATTAGGAACGTGATCCCTGGGCTTTCCAAATTCATGTGCTAGGGTTTGTTTTCTGTCCTGGTGGCCTGGACCCTCCAGAACCTCTCCTGCCCACCACCTATCAATCATATCTTAAGCCCCTAGAAATAAGGCCCTGAACTTTCTGCTGGCATCTCAAGCATGTGTCCAGCTGGATCTCTCAGCCATGAACTTACTGCTGCTGCTTGGGTGGCTGTGGATCTTCCAGGGACCTTGGGAATATGCCTTGTGCACCTTCCAGATGGGTCTTGTGTTAAGCTTTGTCCCTTATGACCTGTTCCTCTCCATGGATTTAATAGTATGTGAGCACACTTCGGCAACATGGGACAACACTCAAAGCTGGCTGCAGATGCATCCTCTACCACTGGGGTCCTTGACCTAATGCTAGTCCAGGACTCTTTATTTTTTCCTATTTCTTAAGAAAGAGCTTTCCATAGCATAGACATCATCATAGTTTCTCTCTCTGACTCACTTTGCCTTTCTCCCCAACTATAGATATACCCATTGCTGTGCAGAAGCAGTGGTTTAGAGAGACCTTTGACCATCTGTCCTCAATCGCCAGCTCCGCTGAAGCTGTGGATGCTGGGGTTCACCTGCTGTCTGGGTAAGAGGGAGACTGAGGTTGTCTTAGAATTTAGAAGAATCTGGATGGATTATATTTGAAAATATTGTTCATCTCCTCTTTTGAGGAATCTTCTCACTGACAATTTCTGCTGTGTATACACACACTCAATCAGAAAGTGTCTATCCTTTTTCTCTTGCCATCCCTCACTGAATAGAAATCAAAATTATATTGATACCACAAGTTTCCTAGAAGCCCCTCCTGAACACAGAGGTTTTGCTTCTCTATCAGACCACGGATGGACACTTCTCTGTCATTATTCTAGGACAGTTGTTGAACCATATATAGAAATGGTTCTTCTTCTTCTTCTTCTTCTTCTTCTTCTTCTTCTTCTTCTTCTTCTTCTTCTTCTTCTTCTTCCTCCTCCTCCTCCTCCTCCTCCTCCTCC